CAGAAATATATATACTAGCTGGCCTGTAACTGGATGGTCTGTTTAGTTTTGTTTTGACGTACTGTACAAAGCAGGATTTAACAGATGTTGGGAAATTACCTCTCTGAGCTTCTCATATAAACATACAGCAGAGATGCATTTGTATGAATGCATTTCATCATTGAATGTGAGTATTAATGTCATCAGGAATTTTTTAGTGTTTCTGCTCATTCTACTGCACCTTGAGTTCTCCTTGCCAAAAATTATTAAAGCTTCTCAAGAGAAGGCAAGTGACTCTGTTGTAGCAATGCTTTCTAGCATGGTGTTAATGATTCTGTTTTCTTGCATAAAAGGCATTGACTTGCACAAGCCCACCAGCAAAAAAAATTAAGAAAAGCATCAATTGTTTCACTACATACCCTTCAAACACAGTGATGACAAAAAAACCCCACACAAAAACCAAAACAAAATGAAAATGGGTGGGCTTCCCTTGGTCTTTATGGCTTGTCCCTCTCACCAGCAAAGCTGACCTATTCTGCAAATCATGCAGTTGACAATATTGTGGCTGCTTGTATCCCTGCTGAAGTAGCACACATCCAGCAAGGTGACAGGGCTTTCCACTCCTCTTACTCAGGAAATGCCGTTTTGAGGATTAGATTGCCTTTTACAGCTTCCAGGATGAAGTCAAACCAGCTTGAAGAGGGGAGCAGCAAACTGTGGTGTGCCCCTCTCTGTGCTGTGTACAGGCAGGGAAATAAGGCAGATTAGGCAGAGAATGGAGGCAAGACCTGGGACAAAGCCTAAAACAGAACAAAAATAGAAGAGAGGTGTAGCTGGCAAAATGATGTAGAGATTTCCTACACTCTACTGGTATTTAATGTATTTTGCATTTCACATCTGTATTCTTATTTTGTACCTCCCTTAGTTTAGTTTTCATGCATTAAAAAGTCTTGACTGTTTCTAAAACAACAACTATGGTTTAAAAAGAACACACCCCTGCCCCTCTCCAAATTACAACAGACGTGCAATATTAGTTTAGGGCGAGTGGGCACAGATGTTATCAAAATCAGCCTCTTACCTGCCAACTCCACCAAATTTTCCACTGCTTGGATATTTTCCTCCACTGCTGTGTGGAATTTCTTATTGTAATGTTCTCTGTGCTTTCTTTTCTTTTTCAGATGTCTTATCCAGTTACTAAACTTGTATGGGGCCTCCTCCTCTGACCGGCTGTCTGAACTAAAACAATCCTTTCTGACAATCACCGAAAAGAAAAGCAGCTTCTGAAGATACTGATGTAATTAGGGTGAGGGGCCAGGCACTTGTGCTGAGTGCTAGAAGAGCACTTTTTAACCACAGCAGATCAGTAAGTTTGGGCTAGATGACATAGCACAGGAGAAGGGATGTGATGTGATGTGGAATATGAGTTGCAGAAGCACACAAAAGAGAGGGAAAGTGAAAAGGCAGATTTAAAACTGGTTTTTCATTTCCAGCATTACCAATGTGTGAGTTTACTGGGAGGAAAATGCTTCTCTTTGCTGTTTCTTTGAATTCTCTGTACCTCTTCTTTACTTCAATATTGTGCTGCTAACAGATGTCTGCACAGTAAAACATGCAGATGTGAGTTCTCCCTGTGCCTCAGGCCTATGAAAAGTTACATTAGCACGACATTAAATCTGAACTAATGCACCCTGTCCCTCAGCAAAAACTAATAGCTCAGGAACAGCTTCATACTAACAGCTTTCAAGTGGCCTGGAATGGAGGCAAAGTGAGTTTTATCTTCCCACAATGTACTTTGTAAAGCTTTCCATATCAAGTCTCATTTGAAAGAAGCATTAAAAGCTTTCTTAATACATGATTTTGCTCTTCATTGGTATATGTCAAAGTGCTTTGCAAAGGAAGCAAACATCAGTGTTCATATTTTATGACATGCAATTCTAAGACAAGGAAAATACAGTGCCTGCCCTTAGCTACACAGTGGTCAGGTCTGGAGCACGACTCAGATCTCCATTACCCTATCCGCTAGACCATAATCTGTCTCGAACTGACAGTTGCAGGATTGTTCAGATTCTGTGCTAATATTCAGTCCCATAATTCTTTCTATTAAATCCTGGATTTATCAATAAATGCCCGCAACAGCCAAATTAAAAACACTGCAGTGCATTCTATGAGGCCTGAGTTTTCCTAGTTCAATATCTAAAAAATCAAAACAGAATTACGTCAATCTATTGTGGAAATGTGCAGAATTTTAATTTCTGTAAGTTGGAGTAAGTAGTAACAGTGTCCCTATAAAAGCATGCATTGGTTATCACACGGATTTTATATCTTTACATAGGAAGTGAGAGAAAAAGCTCCTAAAGATCATTTCCTCTGAGTGTGTTTTCATTACAAATTAGTATTTCAATTAGCTTTAAGAAGTCGATTGTATGCAATACACAATATTCTATGTGCCTTTTTTGCTTAACTTTATTTTCTAAAAACATTTAAAAATATTAATGACATCTGCTAGTCCAGATTTTAAGCCCAATTTAACTGGGTTAGCGTTTGTGGTATTGTATCAGGTACTCCTGTGGATTTGAACATTTCAGGTTCTTTTACACATGTAGTAATAATTGCAGTTTAGAAAAATGTGGTGCCATCATGTGGACAATATGAAGTGTAAAAAACAGTTTTCAAAAGAAAAAGTAGGTAGCAGATAAATATCTGTATTTGATATCACAAGTCAGCTGAATTATAAATATGAATTATATAAGAAGCTATGCACAAATCTGTGGTTGTAAAACTGTATTAGATAAGAAGAAAAACTGATAATGGAATCAGATATAAAAGATTCAATCCTGTTTATTTTTCAGCAGCTCAGGAAGTCCTTGCCCATGAGCACAGGCTGCTCAAAACACAAGAGTCTCCAAGCCACTTTTAATCAGCACCTAATTGCATTACCTACTTCTGTACTCCTTTCTGTATCTGTTTATCTCTCTGGTTTTCCTCTAAGGCTTTACAGAACTTGTTTTTGTACAGCCTGCATTGCTTCTCTCCCACACAAATGCACACACACTCACACAAGCACCCCTATCCATAACATGAGCCAGCCAAGGCACTCTGCCCACACAGTTTTCATTCCTGCATGAGTTCACACAAAGCTTTGTTTCAGTAATGGCTTTGGTTTAAGGCCTCTTCTTGCTTCTTACGTTTCACTAAGAGGAAAGATGCTTTGCCAGATTCAAAAAGCTATCCCTAATACCAATAAATGTCCACAACAATCAAATTAGAAACACTGCAGTGCACTCACGCAGTCTAAGTTTTTCTAGTTTAACACCTACAAAATCGAAGCTGAATTACGTCAACCTATTGTGAAAACCTGTAGAATTTTAATCTCTGTAAGTCGAAGTAATAACAGTGCCACTATAAAAACATGCATCATTTGCCACACATCACGTTTCGTATCTTTACACAGAAAGTGACAGAAAGAGTTCATTCCTACAGATAATTTCCTCTATAATAGATCTGTGAAGGTTTGCACATGAGGGCTGTGATTCAAAAACTACCCTCTGTCGATACACTCCCCAAAGCACACCTGCATGTCACAGAAGTGCAATCTGTCTCCTGCTTTGAGACTCTGTACGCCAAGTAGCCTATACTGCAATTATTATTAAAAAAAGACAACTTTCCAAAGCCTTGCCAGTGGGTTTGAAACAGACAGTCTACCTGGGTTAGAACTTGAAGAGACAACGTTTGGATCAGTCCCTTCTTCTGTGAAGTTTAGTGGTTTTGTTTTGATAAAACTTAGAAAACTGAAGATTTTTTGAATCCTTTTTGAGAATGCAGATTTATGTAGTATTTTATTCAGAAATTCACTTACTTTGTGCAGAAAGAGCCCATTCTTGTGGTACAGTAAGAAATGGAACATCTTATACATGTAGCTTTAATAAATGGATATAATGGAATGGCACCCATTAAGAAAATTCTCTGTGGTGCTGCTTCGACTTCCATATAAAGACAGGTAACTCTGTGAAGTAATGACATCTGTTTTCCATGTCTTTGCATCTCATGCTTGGTTGATTTTGGTGTATAAGAAAATGTTCCAGCTGAAATTTTTACCAGTTTTGGGTCATTTCTTGTGGATTCTTTGGTGTCTAATTAAGTGTGAACATAAACTGCAATCTTTTTCTTATTGGATAAACTTACAGTGTATCTTATTCATTTTCTACTTTGGCATTTATTTTTATGAAACCTGTGGGGGCTTGATTTTCTTTGACAGTTTTATCCTACTGTCAAACTTGGTTGAAGTTATTATGGATTGAAATATCTGAGAGTGGGAGGCAAATGGATCATGGTGACACATGGATAAGCCTTTCGGAAGTCTCTAGTCTGCATCGCTGTGCTCAGGTTCTTGATTACTTGGCATTTAAATACACAGACAAAGGTAAAAAACTCAATTGACACCTTTTCTAATTAATTCCCATAAATCTGAAGCCAATCTCAAGATAAAGTGACCTCATTTGTGATTTTTTTAAATAATTGGCAACATTGTGCTAGACAGAGTGTAGAACACGCACAACCACCAACTTTAGTTCAGATGAACTGTAAATGTCAAAGTATCCCCTGACAGCTTGCACGAGTGCGGTTTTGAGTGTTTTGGAAACTGTACACTCATCCTTTTTAAGTGTGATACTGGTTTAGTTATGGAAGAATTAGTTAAACACACTTTGAAGGTCAGTAAGGTAATGAAGCTATATTAGACTTCCTGGATTCTGACATCTTTTGCCATTAGTGACCATGAAAATGGGAAAATGAACCCTTCCTGATTCATGAATTTTTGATGTTGTGCACGGTTCATCAAATGTTACTAGTTTCTGCCCACTGTATAACCTTGATGAGTTAATGAGATTAGGCAATATTATAAATGATAGACTTTCATTTCCATTTTTTTAAACAAGCGCATCTAAAACTAAAATATGAACAGAAAAAACAAGATTCAGAATCTCATCAACCTCCATTCATCTTGAGTCTGGCATTTTTATATTCTATGTCTCTTCATGAAACTCATTCTTTGTGGTCTCGCCTGGGTAAGGGCTGGGTCTGTCAAGCATTGTACCATTCTCATTGCTGGGATTTGCTGTAACTATCACCCAGTAATTCTTATCTTCTTCAGCTCTATGGGAGTCCAGGTAAGTGTGACAAACTACTTCATACTCTTTTCCAAAATAAGACCTGCAAAGGCAAAGGGGATGGGCAGGGGGGATTAATATATACACAAATACAGCAAATCTTCATTATCTGTAAATTGTTCAAGGTTTTCTCATGTTTCTCTTTGCTTATTCAGCAATATCCCCATGCATTTTCAAATATCAGACCCTTACAAGGAACACAACAACCCACTTTGTTTCCTATGAATAATTCAGGAATTTGAAGTCAAAGGGAAATGCCACCTTTCTAGCTTCAGAGCTAAAGCAGCCTTATCAGTATCAGACACTGATAGGCCAACTCAGTATGTACAAGCTGGTTAGGTTCTCATCACCATTTCTCCCTGGCTACTTAATAACTCTTTCAGCCTCAAACTTTCACACCTTGTTACATCTTCAAAAACTTGATACAAATCATCAGTCAGATCTTGCTCAGAATTAAAGGAGAAAACAATGGGTAGAGTCCTTAGCAATGCTTAATCAATATTGATTTAATGCAGGCATATTAACCTGAATTGTTGGATTAACTTCAGTTTGTTGAGATTGATTCACATGGACATAAGCAATATACAGTTTTATGCAGTGTGATTTTCTTTAGTTCTCTTACTCTTTACAATTCTTAGTATACCATTTTTTTCTTCCTAAAAAACTCAAAATTGTAACTACTCAAGATAGTAAAAGGGGGAGAACCACCAAGAAGCTAGAAAAGGCTAGAAGCATGACATGATATGAATTAAAAAGGAAAAAACCCAACAAAACAAATGAGGCTGAGCTGACTGTCTGTGGCATCACAATGGCACACATTACAGCCAGGAAATAAAATAAGGGAAAGGAGAATGTGGATTCTGTGCTCTTTTCCATTTCCTTAGTGCATTCCTAAAGCAACTGTCTTGCTTCTTACAGTAATTCTTGATGTTGGCACATTATTGTGCACATTCATGCCAGTTATAAATTATTCTTACCTTACCCAAAAGTTCCCTGGAACAGCTAAGCCCCGATTAGTGTGGCAATGAGTAATAATAATTTTAGAGTTTGCCTAGGGGAAAAAAAATAACAAGGGAAGACAATTGACAGATGTTTCCACACTAATTTTAAATATTCTTATTCAAATTAAATGCTTTTATTTACAGCTTGGTGTAAGCTCGCATTGCTCTGTATCATTCTGAGACTGCTGTACATTGATGGTGAGATATTTTACAACTTATCAGTTCTCAACACAACTGTCTTAACAGCTCTGACCAGCCAAATACTCAGCCCTCAGGTCAGATACATTCTCCTGTCCAGCACATTCCATTCCACTCCCTTGTGTTGGGCACTTAAAATTAAAAAAATAAAAATAATTTAAAAAAAAAATCAAGCAAGAAGTAGAGAGTCATTCCAGTGGCCTGCACCATCAAAGTAATTCTGCTAACAATATGGAGAAATCCATATGGTTTGTGGACACAGCCTACAAATGGACCTTTATATTTTACCAATTTGTAATTCTTTATGTATAACAATTTTTAATCACCCTCATTTACTAACACTGTGAATAAAGAATGTTGTCTTTGATATTTACAAAATTTTAGCTGTGTTTATTAGTGAGCTGATTCATGTAAATTAGTCACCATTCAAGGCTGTAGAGGAACAGTTACATTTGTGATATTCTGATATACAACCAGCACTTCAGGAAGCCTAGTATTTACATGCAACAGGAAAATACTGTATCTGCTTAACGTATTTATGAAACATTAAAAACAACGTTAGGGAAAGCACCCACTTATTCAGATGCTCTGGAGGGTTTTTTAATACTTTTAAATTTTAGTGTGCAGTTCTTCATTAATCATAGCTCCTAATATTAGAAGCAGAATTTAGTGCTCAGGAGAACTGGAAAAAAACAGATTCCAAGTACTGTATCCTTACAACATGATGTCAACCTTTAAAAAATTCTGATAAGAAAAACCAAACAAGTCAACCTCAAAATGAATACCAGAACCTAACAGTTGTATATGCAGATTTCCTGGTTAAAAAAATTACTCCTTCCCTCTCCCCCTTCTTAAAATTACAGGTCAGAACTTACAGAAAGAACCTATGTGAATAAAATGGACACAACTTTTTCTCTAAGTACTCCACCTACTGTTTCAATTAAATCTTTATAACATTTTCTACCATTTTAATTTCTTACAGGAACTGGAAATCCTTCGTATTCAAGACGCAGCTGTGGATCCAAGAAGGTAGCTCGCCAGCAAGTCAAATAGGAAAGCTTATCTGTCAAAAATACTTGCTGAAGGTAAGATTTTTTAGCAGATCTTATAAATGATTTATGGTCACTTGCTAGATATAACTGTAAATAAAAACATATATTAAGGACATTATAAATATAAAAGACACAAGATATGTAATATTAAAAAGTATTTTTCAACACAAAAAAATTCTCTTGGCTCCTGAAAATTCAGTTTGCCATACTAAAGCTGCACACACAAAACCCATAACACAGATTCTGTAGTGTTGATAATCTCATTAAGTAGCTATTCTATATGCAGACTGGTGAACACCAATTTAAAATTGAATTTACATTCCAAAGGTCCAAAAGTGGTTGTTGAGAGGGAATTTTTTTTTAAAGTTGTGGTGATTTATTTTGAGTGCGTAAGTAACATGTAATGTCTTATTTTATTCCCTTGCAGAGGGAAACAGTATTTTAAAAATCTGCTCCCTCAGAATGATGAACTAGCATGTTACTTCATAGACCTACCAGAAATTTATCTTCACAAGAAATGAAATCTTCACCTTTTCATTTATTTAAAGAAAAAGTTAAAAAAAACTCCGGCTAATGATGAATTCCTTCATGATTGACAAGCTAATTTTAATTTCATTTTTACTTTTTTTTTTTTCCAATCTCCTTTATACAGTCATTCTGGCTGACAGTCCCCCTGGCTGGCATACCTGATCTCAGGCAAATTGCATAAGCTTTCTGTGTAAGTATTGCTTATCTTGGTCTATGTATGATTCTGAATCTGTTCTGTAAAGCTAAGATGTTGAACCCCTGTACAGCTTTATATATACATATGTAAGTTAAATGCACACTATCAGTATATGCTACCACTGCCATTGCAACTCTATTAGCTTACCATTTGGTCAGAAAACCCTCCTGTTGTCCCAAGACAGAAGTTTTGTCCAAATCTAATTGGTTCATCTACTGCACCTCCATCAACACTGTTAAAATCGTAAAAAGGAAGAAAGAGACATTCAAATAAACAGCTTTACTGTCCTTTGTTTGTTTTGGTCAATAGTTAGATCTTGTGTCAACACTTTGTATTACGTATACCTCTAAAAACAGGCAAAATATCTTAACTGAAAAGGCATTTCATACTTGACTTAGTGGTTAAAATATTTAACAGAATAGAAACAGACAGTTTTGATTACTTTTGTAATGATGCATTCATTAACATGCAGGGTCAAAAGATAAATCAAATTGAAAATCAATAGGAATTCCACACTGAGGCCCCCTTTAAAATATACTTCATACAAGCATTTGAGAAGTTACAGACTAAAAGCAGAACAGTTTGTGTTTGTCTGTAACTTAAGTTGCTCATGACAAATGTAACTGATGTTCAATAATTTGGCTCATTACGTCAACATGCATGCTGGTATATCCCTATTTCTACAATGAATTCTCTATTTTATATTAAAGAATCACTATAATAAATGTTAGGCTTTCTAAGTTTATTCAGTGTAAAAAAAGTATGTAGCTGATTAACTTTGTTACTGAGGGAGTTGATAGCATTCAATGCAAATTAAGATCAGACAGCAGCTAAGGAAAAATGGTTGCAGTTCTAGAAGGCCTAAATTGTGGTCTTGGAATCAAATTTCTTTCAAACCCGAAGTATTTTGTTCAATCAGGATTATATGGATTAGTTTAACTTTTATGCATTATTATTATTATTGTTAAATACATGCATCAGGCAGACCTTTCCACTATTCACCAGGACCCTGTTTTTCTGTATGTTCTCCCAGAAAAAGCTGGAGTTAAATGTGTCTTTGACAAGAGTGAATATGCTGTTTGGTTAGGGGTCTTCTTAGAGCAACAGAAACACTGCCCACTTCATGTACAGCAAAAGCATTGACGCAGATTTCTGCTTCAGATACCTTATTTGCAGGAAAACAAATAATAATAAGTGCTTTTTAGACATGTTTTGTATTCTACAGCTGAAATATGATTGCATTAAAAACAGCTGCAGTTTACCAAATGATACAGTGAACTCAATTCTGTTTTCACACCAGTTCTAAGCTGATTTAAACTTCCTTGGAATTATTCACAGAAATATGTGGAGCAGAATCAACCTTAATTCATGACTCAAGTTAAAGCCTTTTTCCTAAATAATTAATTAATCTTACTCAAATTCATTTTTATATTAGCAAACTTCTCAAAACAAGATACTGAAAGCTAACATAATAACTGAAAACAACTCAGAATAAAGTACCAAACCTTAAAATACAAAAAGTATTTCGAGCCATGGGCTCCACACTCTTGGTTGCGCTAACTCCACAAGGGGCTTGCAATGATATGGCCGAATGTATGGATATATCATCCAGATTAACTGCCAGAGTCAGCCTGCTGCACTCTCCAGGGTTATTCTCCACCGAGGATTTGTTGTCTGGGTTCAAAAGCATCACGGTGTCTCCAAAATGAACAAATCCATCCTTAGTCACTGACAGTTTTATCTAGATTAAAATATACATATTTTTTACAGAATTATCTGACCTTAGTATCAGCAGTATTTTAGCATATAAAAAGCATAGCATTCTTAATGCTTAAAGAGTACTAAGAGCAGCTATGTCATTCCATATGGAGCCATAGAGTATTGACATAACCTTCTTTAAAAATTACCTTCTTTAAAAGGTTATCTTGAAGTTTATCTATTTTCTGTATTAAAAGTTCTCCTCGTTCTCTTTTATGCATAAAATCCCTTAGACGCTCCTGCTTGCAAAGGAGAGAAGAGGCAGACATATTATCCAGCATTCTCAATCTCAGGTTTAAACCGAATTTAAAGAATTAGGAACGAAACACTGTGAGGTGAAGAGGCAGCCGAGGCTCCCTGGGAGCCAGAGAGGAGAGAAGGGCCTGGTTGTAACCCTACCTCCTCCAAACACGCATCCTCCTTCCAGTTGCCTATGAGCACCCGGGGTCTGTAGGTGGCCATAGCTGCCGCCTAGGCCGCGTGGCGTGCCCCGTCGCTGAGGCGACC